TGCAGTCCAGCTGGGTGACTACTAGCTGGAATTTCTCAAAGAGGCTCCCTGGCCCTTGCTGGATTTGGAGACTGCCTTCCGCCATCCAGGGTGCCCCACTCCAGCCGGGACAGGGGAGGAGTTGGGGGTTTTAATCTTCTCTAACCAACAACAACAATATAAAATGTCTTTTTTCATTGTTTGTTTGGGTTTTTGTGGTTGTTTGGTTTTTGAGACAGGGTCTCTCTACATAGCCCTGGCTGTCCTGGAGCTCACCATGTAGACTTGACTGGCCTTGATCTCATAGAGGTCCATCTGCCTGTTTCCTAAATGGCTGGGATTAAAGGCGTGTGCCACCATGCCCAGCTTTTCATTTTCTTTCCCAGACTTTGCAACAGTCCACTATGGAAGCTGCCCTCTAAGTGGCAGGTGAGGACAGGGGAAGGAAGAAAGGCTTCCCCTGATGCCACCAAGTAACACAGGCTCTGGAGGACTGGAAGGCTCAACGCCCCCAACTGAGGTCCATCACCCCCTCAACTGAACCCAGCAGTTCAAAGAGAGGCAAGGAGTGTTCAGGGACGACGGCAATAGCCACAGAGAGCCCCTCCCAGCTCCAACCTTCGAAACTCCCACCTATGGGAAGCTGAGGGGAGCCAGAAAGGGGAGACCTAAAGGAGCAAAGAAGAAAGGCTGGTATGCTGATACTGCCCATCAGAAGGGCGAGGAGGAGGGTGTGAGGAAAGGGAAGGGTGTCTCCACCAAGGTACAGGGCTTGGGGGCATGGGGGCCGCAGGGAGAGTGGAGGGGGAGGTGCTGAGTGTCCACCTGTCCCTGGGTGGTGGAAACAGTTTGCAGGGCTGGGTGAGAACTTGCTTATAGGGTCCCTCAAGGTGTCATCCATCCTTGGTCCAAACCACCCACTGACAGAACAGGGGAGCAGGCGTGGTGGGTGGAGCGTGATGGGTACCAGGCAGCTATAGACAGAACTGACATTCATGGCCACTCAGATGTAAGGGAGATACAACGAGGCAGACGGTGAACTCTGACCTGAGGTTGGAAGAGTGGTGATGGGAAGTGGATTCCAGGACACTTGCCGGTACACAGTGGAAATGTTCCAAGTCTGACCAGGTGGCAATGGACATAGAGGTATTTAATATCCAGAAATCAAACACTGGGCATCATCTCACTCTGTACAAATTATACATTACACCTCCTTTTATTATTGTTATTTTTTGGATACAGGGCCTCAGGGTCTCAGTTAGGCCTCCCAGGTGTTGGGAATATAGGTCTGTACCACCATGCCTGTTCAGTTTTTCTAAATGAAAAAATAAAACAGGAATAAAATAGAATTATATACATTTCTAACTACACTTTGCCTACTATGATTCAAAGAAAGAGGAGTGATGATGGGAAATAAAGTAGGGGTGTTGCCTTAGCTTCTGAGAAGGACATAGTAGGGGAGATTTTCAGTCCCCACATCTACCTCAGCTCCTCACACTGTCTGTGACTTCTGTCTTCAAAGAGCCAATTCGTTTTGGGGAGGGAGCGCTGGTTAACATTAGTCAACTGCTCAACTGAATGGAAAAATCTGTCCTAACATCAAAGCCCAAAGGGACAGCAGAGGACCATGACAGAATGCTAATATGTCCTTCAATGTGGCATTTTCTTTGGATGTTTCCTCCAGTAATATTTTTTTAAGTGCCAGGGATTAGAACCAAGGCCTCATACATGCTCAATGGTGCTATCCCTGTGAGCCACACCCCTGCCCATCAACAGAAACACTGCCACCTAACAGGGCTCATCTAAGGTGCTGACCTGAGAGCTTAGCCCTTGATGGAGACAGAACTCCACCAGAAAGAATCTGGATATCTGAAAGAATATATATGCTGGATCTGGGGGTGCAGGGTTGCAATCCCAACTACATGGAAAAGCAGAGACAGGAAGATTGTGAGTTCAAAGCCAGTCTGGGCTGCAGAATAAATTCAAGCTTGATCTGGGCAACTTAAAGATACTCTGCCTCAAAATAAAATCTAAAGGGAGAGCTGGAGATGGTACTCTGTGATAGAGACAGCATACCTAGTGTGTGTGAGGCCTTAATTCAATCCTCAGTATTGTGTGCACACACACACTTTGTTGTTGTTACTCTGTAGATCCCTGACTCCACTGTGCATCTGAAAACTGAATGCTGCTGCAAGAGCATTTCCTGTCAGTCTACTGCCTCCCCTCCAGGAGTCTGAGCTCTGCAGGCAGAGGAGAATATGCCCACCCACACATAATGCAGGGGCCTGAAGATGTTCCCTGTGCAGTATTTCTGGGGTTGTTGCTGACCCATTTGGTGTGTGTGTGTGTGTGTGTGTGTGTGTGTGTGTGTGTGTGTGCGCGCGCGCGCGCATATGGTGTGTGAGGATGTGTATGTGCAAGGGCAGGTGAAGGCCAGAGGACAACCTGAGAACCTCAGATGTCATTCTTTGGGTTCTGTCCACTTTGGTGGTCTTTGTTTTTAGACAGAGGCTCTCTCACTGGCCTGGAATTCACTGATTAGACTTGGCTGACTGGTCACTGAGTCACAGGAACCCACCTGTCCTCACCTCCCTGGCACTGGGATTATATAAATGATGCCACCACAACCCAGACATTTTACATAAGTTCTAGGAACTGAACTCAGGTCCTCATGCTTGCTAGGCCAGCACTTTACCCACTGAGCCACCTCCCCAGCCCAGAACCCACTTACTTTCCAGTCTAATGTTATATGTGGGAATGTGTATACTTGGACTCCTTGCAGGGGAGTGTACATAGTCTGATGAGAAAAAACACCCAGCATGTGGGAATAAGGCAGGCAGATAATAATGTCCTTTCAAAGCCAAGTTTGAGCTGCGTCTAAGGAGTGCCAAGGGTCACATGCCACTTCATGGGAATGTCATTTTGCATAATGCACTGTTTTCTCTGTACAGACAGCTGTGAACAGGGAGAAAATTAATAAGTTAAAATTATTTTAGCCTCATAGAGGTGTAAATGATGGGTTTCCATTAGGCTTTATTGTCCCATAGAACTGTAATATTTTTAAAACTTGCATTACATTTATTCACTTTATGCTTGAATGCACAGAGTCCACATGGAGGTCAAAGGGCAACTTTCTAAAGTGGGCTCTCACCCTCCACCCTGTGGCTCGCAGGATTTTAGCTCCAATCGTCAGGCTTGACTCCAAAATAACTTTAACCTCAGCACTAGGGAGGCAGAGGCAGGTGGAGGCCAGCCTTATCTACAGAGCAAGTTCCAGAACAGCCAGGGCTACACAGAGAAACCCTGTTCAAAGAAAATAAAAGAGAGAGAGAGAGAGAGAGAGAGAGAGAGAGAGAGAGAGAGAGAGAGAGAGAGAGAGAGAGAGAGAAGAAGGAAGAGAAGAAAAAGGAGGAAGAAAGAAAAAGATTGAAGAAAGAAAGAAAGGAAGAAAGAAAGAGAATCTGAGAGTGGAGAGATGTGGCAACTTCCCCAAGACTGGCTAGCTGCTGGGAAGTGGTAAACTTCGAAACTGATTGCTCTGTGCCTTCACCTCCCTGTGGCCTGTCCCCTCTGCTCCCAGTGGCCTGTTGGTTACTTTGAATTTTACAAGCATTTGGCCATGAACTCTCATGCATTCCCCACACATGAAAAAGGCCCCCAAGTTACAGATTCGAAGACAGATTTCTTCTGCCCTGATGTTCTCTGCTTCTCTGGATCCCAAAGCCCCGCCCAGCTCTTCTCCAAAGTCCCCTTCTCACAACTGTGGCTGGGATAGGACATGCCGTGTCCCAATCTTGCTGAGGTCTGCTTCAAATGTCCATGCTGGGTGTCTGGCCCTGGGGAAGTTCAGGGGGCAGATTCTAAGAAGAGGAAGTGGAAAAGGATGTGAAACTTAGTAGCACCCTGGTGACACCCCTTTGCTGATGGGTGTCTCACCATCAGCAAAGCGCCAGAGCATCCAGTTTGAGCTGACCACGGAGGCAGGTGAGGCCAAGCCAGAGGGGGAGGGGGCTGGGAAAACAAGGTAACTGGACCAGTCTGGACAACTGAGGCAGGGAAGGAAGAATATTGCTGCTAGCTAGTTCTAAGCAATGATGGATGGGGTGTGGTATATTGGTTTAGGATCCAGAGCAGATGGATGAAGGGACCCAATCCTCTGGCCAAAGCCTAGGGGATGGTGAGAGAACCCAGACCCATGGTTCTAACAGAGTTAATGGGTCCTGTCTCTCTCCTGTCAAAAAACACAGAAAGTCAGGAAGTGGGTGGGGTAGCCAGAGCCCAGCAGCTGGACCAGCAGAGGGGTTTGCAGGGACAGTCAGCCCTCATATGGATGTAGAAAGGGGGCCAAGGCTGCCTGGGAAGCAGGCAGATGTCTGTGAAAGCTTGTGAGCGTGCATAGCTTGCCATCTGGGCCGGAGATTGTAATTAAAACAGTGCTGACGCTTGGTAAATATTTGTTCAATGAGATCCATCATCCGTGGGAGTATGTGAGCCTGCATGTCCACAGAGTAGGGAGGTCTATGTGGATATCAGATCATATGCTGAGCAGGTGCAGGGGGAAAGGTGTGGGGTTTGGAGCTGGGGCTAGGGCTAGATCGAGGTCAGGGTCAGGATCAAGACTAGGGTTAAGATCAGGGTTAGGGACAGGGTCAGGGTCCAGGCTAGAGCTAGGAGATAGGATTAAGGTTAGGGTTAAAGTCAAGGTCAGGATTAAGGCTAGAGCTATCTTGGATTAGGATTAGGGTGGGAACTGGGTGCTAGGTTTAAGGTCAGGGTTATGGTTAGGGTTATGGTAGGGCTAGGAGCTAGGGTCAAGATCTTTGTTATGGTTGTGAGGCTAGGGTCAAGGTCATTGTTAGGGCTAGGATTAAGGATCTATGATTGATCACAGGTTATGAAGATAGGTGTGTATCATGGGTGGACACCAAGACAGACAGGGTCACAGAACCTTGCATGTGAGATTCTTTTGTGGGACAGCTGTGTGATTCTGGGTGTCCAGCCTGCCCTGGGTTCCTGTGTGTCTCTACAGGGACGTCATGGAGGTCTCTCGGGGATGGCTGGTGGCCTGTGTGTTGGCCATGAGCCTGGTATCTACGGTGACTGAGGATGTCTGTCGAGCACCCAATGGGAAGGATGGGGTTGCAGGAAATCCTGGCCGCCCAGGGAGGCCAGGCCTCAAAGGAGAGAGAGGGGAGCCAGGTAAGCATTCTCTTGTGGAGCCCTGATCCCGCCATCCTCAAAGCAATGGCTTAGGAAGGCCCTGAGAAGTAACAGTGCACCTGAGTTCCAGGAAGCCATTGCAGTCTGCAGTTCTCCCCAGAACCTGAGGGCCTAGGCTTCTCTGGCACCCTTTCCCAGCCTCAGACCTCTCTGTGACCCTTTCCAGCTCCATCAAGCCCCTCCCCCTCCCTCCTCTGCAGAACAAGGGATGTGAAAGGCTTTACAACAGAGCCCAGATTTCTAGAGTTAGGAGCCATTGCATTGTTGATTGACTTCAAACACGTTACAGACTCTCTGAGCATCTGGTTCCTCCTCTGTAAAATGGAGGCAGAGTCCTGCCTGGGGTGTAGGGAAAAGTAGTTCAGTAGCAATGAGCCCTGCCTGGCATGTAAGAGAGACAAGCTGGACGGTGGTAGCGCACACTTTTAATCCCAGCGCTCAGGAGGCAGAGGCAGGAGGATCTCTGTGAGTTAGAGGCCAGCCTGGTCTACAGGGCCAGTTCCAGGATAGCCAAGGATACACCAAGGAACCCTATGCTCTCTCTCTCCCAAAAAAAGGGTGTAAGAAAAAAAAAATCAGCCAATAACAACTGCCCTTTGCATTCCCTTCCAGCTCCCTACTCTGTCACTGCCCCCTTGCTCTTTCTACCCTGTCAGAACACATCACCCTGAGGGAGGAAAGGTGTTATGACCAGAGCCCAGAGCAGGAAGGAGAGGCCCGCTGCCATCCACAGCCTCTGGGTCTCCAGCAGGCAGAAAGACCCCTCATTGACACTGAGGAAATATACGCACATCCCTGCCCCGCCCCCATGCCTCCTAAAGCCCCAAATCTGAGGAAGGGATTGGTGATCTGGAGGCATGTGAGGTGACAGCCGTGAGCAGAGCTCAGCTGAGCAGCCAGAGTGCCCCATGTTTCCTAGAGCCCAGGGTCTGTCACACGACTGCCTTTGCTTCACTTTATTTTTGTGGATGAAGTTGAGGTTGGCATGCTTGCCCAACACCACACAGCCCGTACAGCCAGTCAGCAAAGGCTCTTTCTACAAGGACTAGACCCCATACCCATGATGCCCCCATTCACCAATCTGCCCTTTCCACCAGGAGCTGCTGGCATCCGGACGGGCATCCGAGGCCTTAAAGGAGACCAGGGGGAATCTGGGCCCCCTGGCAAACCAGGAAATATGGGATTCCCAGGGCCCACTGGGCCCCTGGGGAGCAGTGGGCCCCCAGGACTTAAGGGTGTCAAAGGCAATCCAGGCAATATCAGAGACCAGCCCCGGCCAGCTTTCTCAGCCATTCGGCAGAACCCACCCACAATTGGCAATGTGGTTATCTTCGACAAGGTCATCACCAATGAGGAGAACCCATACCAGAACAAGACCGGCCGCTTTGTCTGTGCCGTACCTGGCTTCTATTACTTCACCTTCCAAGTAACCTCCAACTGGGACATCTGTCTGTCTATCATGTCCTCCTCCCATGGCCAGACCAGGAGTACCCTAGGTTTCTGTGATGCCAACAGCAGGGGGCTCTTCCAAGTGGTATCAGGGAGCACTGTGCTCCACCTGCAACGAGGGGACCAAGTGTGGATCGAGAAGAACCCTGCAAAGGGTCGTATTTACCAAGGTACTGAAGTCGATAGCATCTTCAGCGGATTTCTCATTTTCCCCTCCGCCTGAGCTGGGGAGCCACCCACATTCTGCGTCTCTTCCACTCCCTGTTGTGGGGCCATGCCCTACACCCCTTCTCTCTGCTAAGTGAAGGAGCTGGAGCCTGGGCTTTAGCAGCCCTGGGGCAGGGCTGGATTAGAGGGCCCTGAGGACTGGTGCCTCTCTGCACATGGCCCAGGGTTTCTTCAAGCACTTTTTGGAATAAATGGCCCCATCTGTGTCTGCGGCTTGAGGTGTAATGATTGTTCTGGGCATTGGGCAGGAAAGAGGCATAAAACTAGCCATTGCTAACTGCTTGAGAGGCAACAGGATTAGCATTGTACACAAAGGTTGACAGGTGGGGAGGGGTCGAGTGAACATCAGCCTGGCTCCAATCTGGACATCATCCCTTGCTAGCTGCCAGATCACATGGAGTGAGTGGCCTCAGTTTCCAAATTTGCTAAATGGCTAGTAATAGAAGCTCCATGGTGTGTGACTTACCCACTCCTCACCAAAACTTGGACTCAGGGACTTCCTCTGAGCATACTATGTACACCCTTGGAGGTACACACTAGTTACTTCTCCAAGCACACATACACACATGTGAACACACGAACTACTGCACTCTTGTGGTAGATGTATGTACATGTCCCACATGCACAGAGATAGGAAAGCCTGTGTTTCCTTCCACACTAACCCCTACCCCACATGCTCACACTTTGGAGTCACAAGCCCTCCCATTCACTGGCTGGTGCATCTGGTCGACACTGAGGCTTCACGAAAGGAAGCATGTCTCAAGACAACTGCTGGAACGTAGAGGATCTGCATTTAAGCCAGGCTGTCTCAACCCAAAGTGGAGGGTTCCTGTCACTTGTGGGGTACTGAGAGAAAGGGGGAATGTCTGAACCAGTAGGTGGGGAGGGTCGAACTCCTCCTGAGCCTGCAATCCAGCTAATCTCACCCCTTCACCTGCAAATCTCAGTTCTTTTGGGCCTGGAAGCTGAGACAGGCAGGAAGGTGGGCGGGGTGGAGAGGGCTGAGCACAGACAGAGACTGCCACCTTCTGGGAGAGTTAGGCACCGCACAAAGGTGACTAAGAGAAGAGAGCAGGTTCTATTACTCATAATACAGAGGCCACAATGCCCTCTCCTCCCAGCCCTGGGATGCTAGTGCATTCTCACCCTGGCTATAAGTGGAGGGATTGTCAGGATGATTGGGAGAACAAGACCCTAAGCACTATTTAGCTAGGCAGCCTGAACTGTTAGCATGGGCCAGAACTCCCCATGCCCTACACAGGACCCCACCCAAATGCAGGCAATAAAAGGGGCAAGGCTGGGCAGCTCTATTGCCCCCAACTTCATTTCATCCTAAGAATCCCACTTGAAGAAAGAGATAGGGAGACGCCTGCCCTAATCACCAAAAGCCCTAGGACTAGAGACAAGGTAGGGGCCAGGATGATCTGAGTATGAATCAAAGTGGTGGGGGCCCAGCAAAGAAAGAGGTATCACCAGCCATGTCCTGGCACCCTGCACCCAGTGGGGAACCGGTCTGCAGAGCAGCGACTGTGTCTGCTGACTAGGGAGTCCCCAACAAGGAAAAGCCGAGGCTCCGGCTCTACAGCCAGACCAGCTGATGCACGAAGGCAAAGCAAGCTCACCCTGGCATTTCCCCCTGAGCCCGACAATGGAATGGGTGTGCGGATGTTTCTAGAATAACCCCATCACTTGACAGCCGCATGCATGTGAGCCTTGTTTCTGGGGAGCTGATGAACACAGGGGTCATCCTGACAACCATTCAGTGTGTGGCTTAGGGCAGACCTCAGTCTCCTCTTCTGGAAGAAAGACTAACCTCACCTCAAGGAGATGGAAGGACAATGAACCTCAGGCATGGTGAATGCCATAGAGGGGCTATAAATTCAGTGGCCACCCTGCCCTTGAGGATGCTGTGCCCTTGGTTCAGGTCCATGCAATACACATGCATCACACACACACACACACACACACACACACACACTCACACACACACACACACACACACACACACACACAAGCACAAGCAGGCATGAATCCTGCTGTTCCCAGGATGAGGGGATAGCAGACACTTCCTCATTTTATCACACATGACCTAGGGCCAGGGGAGGAAGGGGTGGACAGAGATGTCATTGTGGTCAGTCTGGCTCAAAGCCTAAAAGAAAGTGTTAAGTCAAGAAAAATTGCTTGGAAGAGGATGTGGGATTAGGGTGATGTGGGGGAGGGACACCAGAGCCTGCTCTGGGCAGTTCTCTGTCCATTCTGACACAGTATCCTCCTGTCTGGGAGAACAGGACAGCTCTGTGATTAGGCCTGAAGTCCCCTGCTCCCTCAGGTGAGGCTGGGACCCTGCCCTGGTGGGAGTGAGGCAATTCCCCCCCTCAGGTCCCTTCCTGAACCATAAGGCCAGGACTAGCTCTGTTTGCTGAGTCCAGGCCTGGACCTTAGAAGAGACCCAACTATCTACCCATCTGTCCATCATCCATTTAACCATCATCTGTGGATGGATGTGGACTCCCCAAGGTGAAGGGTTATGGAGCAGGGCAGGGCAATGAGGGGAAGAAGGCCAAGAGGGGAGCTCAGTACTAGCTCCCCCTCTCCCCCCACAGCCCCTACTCAGGATGGATGTGGGGCCCAGCTGCCAGCCCCAGCGAGGAATCTGCCTGATGCTGCTTCTGCTGGCTCTGATACTCAGGAGCCAGGCCAACACCAACTGCTATGGAATTCCAGGGATGCCAGGTCTGCCAGGGGCCCCTGGGAAGGATGGGCATGATGGACTGCCGGGGCCCAAGGGTGAGCCAGGTGAGTCTGCGGGCCTCTCTTTCAGTAGGCCTAGGCCCTTTGTCCTCAGAGTCCTGGTTTTAGCCCCCGGCTGATTCTGGTGACCTTGTAGCTTGTTGCTTTCATTTGCCTCGTCCTGTGGAAGAGAACCCCTGTCCTTGCAGGAAAGTAACAGCCCGCTTACTATGCATGTGGACACTTAGGGAAGGTGGCCCACTACAGCTGCTTTGGATGCATTGATTGTGGGGTCAAAGCCACACCCACCACCTCCCTCTGTGCCAGCTTGCACAAGTGTCTTAACCAAGCAATGCCTCAGTTTCCACATCTGTGAAACCGGGTGTTGTAGTCCTTGTGTCTTGGGATGTCACAGCTTTAAATAAGTTTGCATGTGTGGTAAAAGTAAGCACCTTGCAGGTTGGATGGTCTCTATCAAACAAGACGCAAGGAACAGGTGGTTAGGACTTCACCTAGAATGTTCTGATGGGTGTCCTGATGTGAGGGAAGGGCCAAGGGAAGGAGTGGGAAGCTCTTAGGTAGGAGAGGAGGGCAGGTGTGGTGACCCCTTCCCCAAGTGAGCATGCTTCTCTGGGAGGTCAGTGGTATGTGGGCATGAGGGAGGCTGGGTGTAGCTGAACAGTGTTCATGGGGACAGAAGAAAGTGGTGGTGGGGTGGGGTGGGGCTAATGGAAGGTACCCTTAAGAATGTCATACTGCCCTCTTCCCTCTAAGCCACTGAATGGAATCTTGGTACTCTGAAAGGAATTGCTCACTTTAGGGGAGCTAGTGAGCCCCCTCCTGTTCCCCCCCAGGGCTGCACTTTTGGGAACCCTGTTCATAGTTCTTTGAACCGCTCAGCACCAGGCTCAGCTCTGGTGTTCTCTGAGCCTACGTTCACTTCCCAGAGCAGGTAAACATCTCAGTTATGCTTTACAAATGGGAAAAGTGAGGCCCAAATGCTTTGCTTCTCCTTTGCAAATGTCAAAACTGGCATCCAGAGAGATTAAGCGACTGGTTCAAAGTCACATAGTGACTCTTGTTCCTCTGTCCTTCACAGCCGCCTGGGCCCCTCTTCTGCTCCTTCCACCACAGGTTTGGAAAGTGAGGCTGGACCAAGTACAGGTCCTAGCAGAACCCCACGCATCCTGCCCCTTCTTCCTGGTCAAAACCATCTGCGAAGTACAGGCTAGAGGTCACTGCCAGACCCACTTGGGGTCCCCCTTCCTGTCCCCTGCCCTATCACTTCCTGCCTGCTCTCTCTTTAGGAATCCCAGCCATCCCTGGGACACGAGGACCCAAGGGTCAGAAGGGCGAGCCTGGCATGCCTGGCTATCGTGGAAAAAATGGCCCCATGGGGCCCTCTGGGTTGCCAGGGGATCCAGGCCCCAGGGGACCTCCTGGGGAGCCAGGCGAGGAGGGCCGATACAAACAGAAGCACCAGTCCGTGTTCACAGTCACCCGGCAGACAGCCCAGTACCCAGCAGCCAACAGCCTGGTCAAGTTCAACTCTGTGATCACCAACCCTCAGGGGGATTATGACACCAGCACAGGGAAGTTCACCTGCAAAGTGCCCGGCCTCTACTACTTTATCTACCACACATCGCAGACGGCCAACCTGTGCGTGCAGCTGTTCCACAATAATGTCAAGGTGACCAGCTTCTGCGACCACATGTCTAATAGCAAGCAGGTCAGCTCTGGAGGAGTACTGCTGCGGCTGCAGAAGGGCGATGAGGTGTGGCTGGCAGTCAACGACTACAATGGCATGGTGGGCACCGAGGGCTCCGACAGCGTCTTCTCAGGCTTCCTGCTGTTTCCTGACTAGACTGGCAAGCTGAATCCAGCCCCCAGACCCTCCCCCACCTCGATCCCTCTGCTTCCTCCATCCTCACTCAGACCCTTCCACACTGCTGACCTCTTCCTCCTGGAAGCCCACCTGGCTCCTGATCCATCAGCCAGCTGACTCCTCTGAGCCTACTGATATCATCCGTGTGGCGGTTTACCCCTTGAGACTCTTTGTTTCAGATGGAGAGATACATAAATAAATAGATCACTAATTATGCATGGCCCAGATTTCTCACTGGAAGGCCTTGAGTGTGGCTTGAACAGTTTTGCATCTGTGAGTTCTTGCTGAGTGAAGGGATGATTTGGGGTGAATTAATGAATGTTGAAATGGGCAAGGTAATGACTAGAAACAGAACAAATGAATGAGCCATTATAAATAAACCCATCCTAGCTAGCAGCTTATAAGGCTTTCCCATGCATCCAGGCGCTTAATACTCACACTCGTGTTCTGAGATGAACATGGGTAAATGGATAGGAGAGAGGAGCAACCCCAATGGCTGACACACAGATTCTAGGAACCCCGGAAGGCTGTCTAAAACATGGCTGCCCTTAAGCTGTCAAGTTTGGGCTATGAGATTCCTGATGGCAGGCACTGGCCACGGCAGCCTTCAGAGGACCAGAGAGGTTCATCAGGAGTACCTGAGTTCAGAAAATGCAAAGCTCAGCTGTCAGGCTACAGGAAATAGTTCAGCGGTTAAGAGCATTTGCTGTTCATTAAGTTTGGCTCCCAGCACCCCCATCAGGCAGCTCACAAATGCCTGGAACTCTGGGGGACCTGGTGTCCTTTTCTGGACTCCACAGCCACCTGTACTCATAATGTACATACCTCCCCCCCCCACACACACATACACATACCTATGAACCTAAAAAAAAAAAATCACAAAGTGCAATTGTCTGGGAGAGAGAGGTATGAAGGACCCCACCCCAGTCTGGAAGAACCAGTCCTAACCAGCTGGGATCTCAGTCTGCCGCAGGAGGCTCATGAGAATGCAGCTTATTGAGCACACCTGGCACCAATAAATAATAAATAAATAATCCTCAACTCAGGCAAACCAGTGTTCTGTGTCCTGTTTAGACCTTTCATCCTGTTTAGACCTTTCATCCTGCAAAGGGTCTCTTCACACAGTCATGCCTTCACCCTGGCTGTCTCTTCATGCTATAGAAACTATCCACACACCTTTGAGCAAGGTCCTTCAACCAAGATTACCTCCTCCACAAAGCCTGCCCTAACTCCCTCCCTCATGAGACCCCTGCCCTGACTCTCCCATGAGACCCCACAATGCCTTTCAGAGACTTGGACCCCAAACTCAGTTTTCAAAGCCAAGTAGTATAGAAAACCAACCTAAAGGCACTTAAAACAAAACTAGGTTTTTGTTTTAAGGCGACAGTAGGTGAGCTGCAGGTGAATCAGTACACATGGTCCCATGGTCCATAGAACAGCTTTCGTCACTTACCTATTCACAATTCCATATGCCCCACAGAATTGTGAGCAGCCCTGTGTGGGAACTCTGTGATGCCCACCCCACCTGGCACGCAGTAGAGGCAATGAAATGGGTAAGATAGCACAGAGGGAAATAAAGATGCACGCATATGTGCATGCAAGGAAACACGTGCGCACGCGCACACACACACACACACACACACACACGCACGCACGCACACGCACACACACACAGAGCACGGCTCACACACACACAGCACCGCTAAGGAATCCCACCTGGCTCACTGCATCTGGGCACTCAGCAAGGCCAGCCTGGGTCACTGGCGGTGGCATCCCCAGCTGTGCCTCTATCAGCCATTTAGCAGCTCACCCAGTGATGCCCCATGTGATAGATCTTTCTTCTCATAAAAAAGAAAAAATAAATCAATGTGTTGCTTATGTCAGTCATGGAGTTAGAGCCAGTGCCTGTACTTGGAAAACAACAAGGTTTGTCACATACACCCCCAACCCCGTTTCCTCCACAATTGTTCCCTTGTCCTTGCTACATCAAGATGAGCAGATCTCAGAATATGCCAGCCTATTGGCCATGTGGAGGTGGTGGGTTCTGAGGGCTGGGACAAAGCAGAAAAAGACCCTTATTTTAGGGGACTTCTTTGGGCAACTGGGGTTTCTCTGATTTTTCTCCTTAGGTGTCACCCTCTATCAGGAAGTGAAGGGAGAGATACCACCTCTCACTTAAGGGCCAAGGCTCAGGGGCCCCCTTCAGCTCCTGATCTTCAGGTATAGACCATGCCTGCTCCAAGCTTGGCTCTCATTCCTACAAATATTACTGTGTCTGGGAGCACTTTGGCCCTCGACCTCTAGGGTTCCTTCCCTGTATCACCAGCAGCCCCAGGAGACAAGCTCCCCCATCTCTGATGTAGACCTGAGGGAATTTCAGTTAGTAACATGCTCAAGCCTACATGACTGGAGAGTTGGAGTTTAAACTTGAGATGACCATCCCGAATCTCCCACTCCATCTGTTTCCTGTTCTTCACATGCTGCTTCTCCAGGTTCGAGTTCAGGATAAACTTGTCCTACTGCCACTTACTCTGGAACAAGAGACTCTTGAGAGCCTAGATGGCCATGAGACCCTCAGGAGGACCCCAGGTTGAGGGTCTAGATGGCCATGAGACCCTCAGGAGGACCTGGGCCTGAAAGTCATGGTGCACACCTGTAATCTCAGTACACAGGAGGCAGAGACAAACAGATTTTGAGTCTGAGGCTAACCTGGGTAATGTAGTGAGACTCTGTGTGAGAACTAAATAAATAACAAAGAGGATCCCCTGAACATGTAGCCCTCGGCTCTTTCTTCTCTTGGGAACCTGGCTGAGAGTAGAGAACTGGCTTCACTGTATTTACATCCTCTTTCCTTCTCCTCATTTCCATCCATAAGTTAACGCCTATGGTCAATGCCTCATTTCCATCCATAGGTAACACCACAAGCCAAAAACTGATCCCTCCTCTCCAAGCTCCCAGTGGAGCTCGGTGCCTGTACCCTCTGGGTACCTGCCCTGGAGTGGAGTGATACCTGGCCACAGATACAGCCAAAGTAGCACAACTAGGTCCTGGCCCAGAGCTGTCTAACTTCAGGCTCTGCCCTGGGATATGGGTTTTGAAACTCACTGATTTTCTATGGCATTTACTACAGAAAAACTCAATGTCCTACCCTAGCCTTCCCTAAAGGGACGATCTATACGAAAGGACTCATTGCTACTACTCACTGGGGCCTTCTTCCCAAGTTATAGCTCACAGTACCTGACTAAAATAAAAGGCCCATTGATTCATGCCTTTGAGCCTCAGTTTCCCTGAATGTAAAAAGAGGGACAGGGTGGTCACAGTGACTTCCCAGCCCCTCTGCAGCTCTTGCTTGGTCTTTAGATCCCCAAGCAGCAGTACCCCCTGCCTGCGGCTGTTATTGTCAAGGGCTCCAAGCCCTGTTGGAAGTGGAAGGAGGGGAATGAATAAGTAATGAATACATTTAAAATTCATTATTGGATTATTTTCTGAAGACAGAGAAGAGGGTAGAGGTGGAGAGCGGGAGGCAGAAAAGAGATAAGGCCAGAAAGGAGACATCTAGGACATGAAGTGACATTCACAATTCACAAGTTGAGTGCTCTAATTTGTTCTGTCCCATCTCCAATCCCGGCCCTATCCTTCTGGAGGTCTGTGAGAGCCAGAGTGTATATAGCCGTGGCTCCATCACATAGTGGGGGAAACTGGGGCTCCCCTTGGCTTCCCTGTATTGAGAGCATTTAGCTGGCAAGTGGCAGCGCTGTGGTAGGAATCAGGATCTCTGGCTGTGAAGCGAGGGCACAGACCTTAGATGGGCCTTTATGCATCCATGCTGTAAAGGAACATTAGTCCCCATCAAAGTCATGTGCTCCCGAGGCCCTGGCAGGCAAGCAGCCTGCTGGGGACAGTCCCCAAGGACAGGCTATTCCCCCACCCACTATCACCCACCCGAATGCTGAGTTGGCGAAACCATGTTGGCCATAGCCATCATTTACAGTAATTCCCTCCCCAGGAGCAGAAACAGGACCTGAAACTGCCTGAGGGCAGCAGGATGGGGGTCAGATGGGCGAGAGAGTGGGGGTCAGTCTGTTGGGCCTTGGGAGAGGACACCAAGGGAAGGCCCTCCTGCCTCTAGGGACGCATACTTCTGCTTTCTGTGGACAGCAGCAGGCTCTGGGCTCTGAGAACCCACTGCTATCTGAGCTGGAGCATCACAGAACATCTGGACTCTGTCCATACTCAGGTAAGCACACCAGGGCGAGGCAGGGAAAGGTGGATTAACTTGCCAACACAGGCATTGCTTCCAGCTATGAACAACTGAACTATTAATTGGACTGAATTCTCAGAGCGCAAGCCCAGATCCACAGCACAGGCTCTCTGGGGTGAACTAGGGGTGGAAGCGTCTGTGGCTACTTGGGGGCAGAGGATGGGTAGGCAGCCTGTAACAGGATCACCTGGAATCTTGGTCTCAGGAACCATGGAGACTTAAACCAAATATCACTTCTGTCTCTTGCATGCTGCTCATCTGCAACCTGTTTTATAACCTCTCTGATCCACAAACCCCAGGGGAGAACAGAGTCTTTTGTGTGTGCAGTAAACCCTGACAGAGACCAAGCTTAATGCTGTCAGTAGAGCAGAAGCAAAGGCTGGATAAGAACCCAGGCCTCATCTGTCAAATGTCCTCAGCACCTGGAGTTGAAGGTCATTGTTGGTTAGTCCTGAGTGGCAAAAATCGTATCTGCAAAGGACACATGCTGTTCAAGGGACCTTAATCCTCCCTGTAACACCTCACTCAATATTGCCGATAGCCCTGGAAGCCAGAAATGGCCCATGTCAAAGAGACCAGAGAAGTTAAACACCTGTCTCAGGTCACTCAGCCAGGGAGCAGCAGATGGGAGTTCAAAGCTAAGTTGGGTTGACTCCATGCTGGAGTAGAGAAAGATGAGCGACTGTTACGATGGTCCAGCAGAAGAGATGGGTCATCTAACCAAGAGGATGTGAAGGCTTCCCCACACCTGAGACTTGAGACCCCCAATATAGACTAGGGATCAGCATTGTCCCTGTCTTCTGGAACAGTAAACTGTGCCCAGAAAGAAGTCCTGTCACAGCCCTGCCCCTGAACAGCTTGCTAAGTGATACTGGAATGTATTTTCAAATGGTTGAGCCTCAGTTTCCTCATCTTGAGATGGCAGATTCATCAAAGCCCACCTCTCAGATGCT